TATTTATAATTCATCATCTGTGTTCTTTCCTGGTTTGGTTGAAGCGAATAAAAACATAATGAGTAAGATAGCCTCAGATATCAGACTGCAGTTTCATTATATTTTAAAGGGGATAGTTTATAGCATAATTTATATTTTAACATAGCATAAATTCTGTTACCTTGTTTACCTCTTCAATAAACACTGCTTGATCAGAAGCTGCACTGACAAATACATTTTCACAAAAGCTTCACTGAATCGATTGTGAAAAGTGCCAGATGAAACTGACTCAATTTTAGAGTTCTGTGTTTGCTGTTGAATATGCAGAAATAATTTATCCAAAAATTCTAATTCTGTCATCATTAACTGATGCCGCTGTACTGATTTTCCTGTGAAACACAAAAGAAAATGTGAAGTATCTTCATGAAGCTCTTTTCCATTAAGTGATGGTTCTCTTATAGAGAGCATGCCTGCCAGCTTCAGCTCTAAAACAACAGCAACAAAGACATTCAAGTATCATAAATGCGCCACAGAAGCATCATAACTCTATATGACTGAGTCTTCTGAAGTCATAAGATAGTTCCCCTTCAGGAACTTGAGCTGCGTCGAACGCTATGGGAACGCCTTCAGCGTGACCATGCTCTGAATCACATGTGTAATCAGTCCAATAGATGGGCGAGACGTCACGGGCGGGTGACGTAATGACCAGGAAGCTTTAAAAGCATCTGCGGTGGAACCGGCATCAGCTTTTCTGTCATTCAGCAAAGCGCTCTGTGTTGTGTCAGTCACTCTCTCTGTTTGTAAGTCTTATTTGGTGTTGTCTGTCCCAGCTCCTCAAAAAGAAATATAAGCATGTCTAAGGCTGAGGCTAAGACTAAGCATTTGACGGGCGAGAACAGATCCCGTTTCAGGCTGTGTGTTCCTCCCTGCCCCGCGTTACATTACGAGCGGGGATACACACAGTCTGTGTGTGGTTTGCTTGGGAGCGAAGCACGCAGAGCCAGCCTTCAGAGGGAGCTGACTGCCCGCATTGCGAGCGGCTTCCCCTGCGTACGCTTCGCTCCCGAAAGGCTCTCTTCGAGAAGGGAGCCTTCACCAGCGTTCCCCGCAGTGCTGGCCCCACTTCCGCCGAGGCGGAGCGGCAGCTGCACTCATGGGGTTCGCAGGTGGATCTGGCAGAGGGAATGGAGACGGGCGAGTCCCTATCTCCTTCCTCACCCACCAGATCCAGTGCCCGATCTCTGGGTTCGGAAACCCGTTCTGCGGCTACTTCCTCCCGGGGTGACGGCTCGACGCTTCTCCTGTTTTCCTCCGAGGAGGTTGACGTGGGGGACGTCGAAGAGGTTTCGCCCCCTCAATCGCCCCAATATGAGGAGCTAGTGGAGGTGCTTACTCGTGCCGTGGCCAAATTAAAGATTGATTGGCCCGCCGAGAAGCAGAAGCACGTTGGATGAACGCTTCATGCGCGCGAGGCCACCACCTCCATGCCGGAGCCTGCCATTTTTCCCCGACCTTCACACTGAGGTGTCGAGTTCGTGGGCCATGCCTTTTTCGGCCCGTCTCTTCATCCCTGCCTCTGGTTATTATGGGAATGTGGTGGGGTTGACTGAGTGTGGCTATAGGGCGATGCCCCGGGTTGAACAGACGCTAGCCAGCTATCTGTCCCCAGGCATGGCATCGTCCTTAAAGGCTTCGGCACTGCCCTCCAAGCCACTGCGTACAACATCAGCGCTGGTGGGCAAGGGCTACGCGGCAGCAGGTCAGGCAGCATGTCTGCACACGATGTCTGTGTTACAGGTGTACCAGGCAGACCTGCTTAAAGAGCTGGATGAGGGTGAGGAACATAACTCCGATAACATTGAGGAGTTAAGAAAGACTGCTGATCTCTCTCTCCCCGCCACCAAAGAGACCACCCGCGCCATTGCACCATAGCACCAGCTATGGTGGCAGCAGAGAGCCATTTGTGGTTGACCCTGTCTGATATGAAAGAGTTTCTGTCATTCAGCAAAGCGCTCTGTGTTGTGTCAGTCACTCTCTCTGTTTGTAAGTCTTATTTGGTGTTGTCTGTCCCAGCTCCTCAAAAAGAAATATAAGCATGTCTAAGGCTGAGGCTAAGACTAAGCATTTGACGGGCGAGAACAGATCCCGTTTCAGGCTGTGTGTTCCTCCCTGCCCCGCGTTACATTACGAGCGGGGATACACACAGTCTGTGTGTGGTTTGCTTGGGAGCGAAGCACGCAGAGCCAGCCTTCAGAGGGAGCTGACTGCCCGCATTGCGAGCGGCTTCCCCTGCGTACGCTTCGCTCCCGAAAGGCTCTCTTCGAGAAGGGAGCCTTCACCAGCGTTCCCCGCAGTGCTGGCCCCACTTCCGCCGAGGCGGAGCGGCAGCTGCACTCATGGGGTTCGCAGGTGGATCTGGCAGAGGGAATGGAGACGGGCGAGTCCCTATCTCTTTCCTCACCTGCCAGATCCAGCGCTCGCTCTCTGGGATCGGAAGCCCATTCTGCGGTTTCTTCCCCACGGGGAGCAGGCCCTCCACGACGCACTCCACGTCAACCTCCTCGGAG